CATTATATTTTATGTTAATTGATTAATAATTATATTTTTTATTGAATAATATAATAGTTAATATTAAAATTAGTAATTATATTTTATACTAAATAATATTTGAAAGTTACATAAAATTATATTTTACACTAAAATCAATATTTTTTATATGATGAAGCGGTTGTTTATTAATAAATTAATTTTTTTTATGTCATAGTAAAATTTCTTAAAATCACATAAGCAATTGTTATAATAAATGTAATATTTTTCAGCTAATTAATTGGTCATGATCACTCAAAATTATAAAAAGTATATATTTATTACATTTTATGCAATCAATATAGTGATTTGTATACAATCAAATCGTGTGTACTAATTATTTTAACCAATGATCAAATTTTAAAATATAATACTATTATATAAATTATAATATTAATATTATATACATAAATATAATTTATAATACTATATGTTTGAAATATAATACAATTATATAACTTATAATTTTTATATTATATACATAAATATAACTCATAATATTTAATTTTATTTACATCTGTGCAAATGCACATAATCGAATACTAATTTTAATTGAAACAAGGCAAGTATTTTGTCACTTATTAATGTGTTTTGAGTTGATTTAAGATAGATTGCACCATGTGTAGGATCCAATACTCTGAAGCGCCCCTCGTCTTTAATTTGGGTCTCGTCTTCTTCTTGGATGAAGGTGCCCCTCATAATAGGTTGAAAATCGAACCAAATCGTTCAAATATTCAATAAACAGAAATTTCAGTTTGTCGAAAATGAAAATTGAAAATGAATAAAAAATCTATCTGCGGGATCAGTTTTGATTACCTATTGGCTGAACCATAGAAAATGGGGAAAAATTTGAAAATAAAAGAAAGGTAACTGAAAATTGGGCTTTTGCCTTTTGTTCCACAATAGTTTACAAATCAATGGGCTTGAACGTGGGCCGGGCAGAAAAAAATTATTACTTTTTTTGTGTATATTGCAAATTTATAGGTAATTTAAGTTCGGTTTAACTAGCGCATAGCCCGTGCGATGCACGGGATGGTATATTTTCCTGAAATGTTTAACGTGTGAAATATTAAAAATAATATAATTTATATATATGTAATAAAAATAAATGGATTGCAAAGAAGGAAAAAAAATATAAATTATTGAACACTTTCTTTGTGAAGTAAAATTTGTGAAGGTTTGGTATATTTAATTATGAATAGAAAAGTACGAAATACTACCTGCGGACCGTTGAGATAGATGAGAAGATTTACTTAGAATATATAGAATAAATATTGAGATAATGATTTACCTTTTACCTAGTATAGACAAAATAAATATTGACATGATGTTGGAAAATTATGACGAATTATGACATAAATTCGTTTAGAAAATATTCAAAAATTAGATTTATTTTTTATTTTTTAAATCCTTACAGCAATTCGTGCGCTCCTTTTCATACGCTTCGTTTTTCAATTTTACACATACAAATAAAAATTAATGCAATTCGAAATATTATATAATAAATAAAATGAGATTTTTATCTAACATTTAGTATATTGCCGGAAATTTTTTTATAAATCTTATTTTTTTTTTTATGCACATAGATATTAAAGAATGAGTAAAAAAATATCTAAATATGTTTAAAAGTATCTAATATTATATGTGTTAACAATGTTACAACCAAAAGACATTAAGAATACGCAGACTATTATATAACATATGTGAAAGTATTAAAATATTTTATATTATTATTGAAAAATGTAAATTACCTCAATTTTGTCTAGACTATTTTATAAGAAAAATATATATACTTAAAGTTAGCACACACACATATATATATATATCCTTAAAATTTGCCCAACTAACATGTTTAAAAGTATATAAAATTTTATATATAAAACACGTTTAAAGTTTACATATTTTACAAAAATTAGACTGCTCTCAGTTTATATAAAATTTGTTGCTCTTATATTCGGATAACGTATTATGCATTTAATGAAAGCACCCTACGATACAAATTTATAAATATTAATTAAAATAATTTTCTAATTTATATAAAATTGAAATAACAAAGGTAAATATTACCTGTTCATCGTGAAAATGCATGCGTTACAGCTCCGTTCGTGATGAGTTTCAATGGTTTCAATAATGCGGACTGCTCTAGACGCAAAAAAGGTTTGTTATAAATATTAATTAAAATAATTTTCTAAATTATATAAAATTGAAATTACAAAGGTAAATATTACCTGTTCATCATGAAAATGCGTTACAGCTCTCCCGTTCGTGATGGGTTGCGAACTGCTCGTGATGGATTTCAATAATGCGGACTGCTCTCAGACGCAAAAAAGGTTTGTTATAAATATTAATTAAAATAATTTTCTAAATTATATAAAATTGAAATAACAAAGGTAAATATTACCTGTTCATCATGAAAATGATCGTGATGGGTTTCAATAATGCGGACTGCTCTCTCCCGTTCGTGATGGGTTTCAAAAATGCGGACCGCTCTCAGACGCAAAAAAGTTTGTTATAAATATTAATTAAAATAATTTTCTAAATTATATAAAATTGAAATAACAAAGGTAAATATTACCTGTTCATAATGAAAATGCGTAGCTCTCCCGTTCGTGATGGGTTTCAATAATGCGGACTGCTCTTAGACGCAAAAAAAAGGTTTGTTTTTTTTGTTAACGTACCCCAGTCTGGAAGCATTATATATCAAGTGTACCCCAGCCTGCTCGTGATGGATTTCAATAATGCGGACTGCTCTTAGAGGCAAAAAATGTTTGTTATAAATATTAATTAAAGTAATTTTTTAAATTATATAAAATTGAAATAACAAAGTAAATATTACTTGTTCATCATGAAAATGCGTTACAACTCTCCCGTTCGTGATGTGTTTCTGCTCTCTCCCGTTCGTGATGGGTTTCAATAATGTGGACTGCTCTCAGACGCAAAAAAAGGTTTGTTATAAATATTAATTAAAATAATTTTCTAAATTATATAAAATTGAAATAACAAAGGTAAATATTACCTGTTCATCATAAAAATGCGTTATAGCTCCCCCGTTCGTGATGGGTTTCAATAATGCGGACTGCTCTCAGACGAAAAAAAAGGTTTGTTTCTTTTGTTAACGTAAGTCTGGAAGCATTATATATCAAGTGTACCCCAGCCTGGAAGCATTATATTGTATATGCGATGAAAAATTATTCTCTGTATTTTTTTTTTCTCTGAACTCGTGAATGGTGAGTTATAATGGTGGTAGTGAATATCCTTTTATACAATTTTTTATTAACAAAAGTGATAAGATAATTATGGATTGTATTTGGATAGATATTAAATTCCATAATTTTTGGGATGCAACAACAAAATATGCAATCACATGTATATATCTTATCACGTTAAAGGTATATCCATCCCTAAAAAAAGGGAAATATATAATGCCTTAATTGACGGAATTTGTGTATTTTTGTAACAGATTTGCTTAATTAATGGG